ACGCCACCCCCCTGCCGTATCAGGCACAGGGTGTGCCCTGCCCATTCAGGTTGCGAGCTCATTCAACTAGAGTGTTGCATCCTCCTGGGCGCTGGCTCGTGGCGCCTCGCTGGCAAATATCTGTAGAGCTGCAGGCTGGTCGACCCCTAACACGTCCGCTAGATTCTATACCCTTCGTGTGGAGCCGGTATCCTCCTGTGTTCTCACCTCAAACGGCGAAAACCTGAATATGCGCTGCATCTGCTGCCTACTTATACTCACGCTGTGATCAGCGGCAGCTGGATGCAATAATCGCATGCCAATGTGCATTGGCTCGTTTAGTTTACACTCGGAAGTAGATTGGTCTCTCTAAGCGAGATCCCAATTCGTCGGTCATCCGACGTGATGTCTCCGTTCCCTCCTTCAGGGAACGAGGGTTACCATACGTAACCGAGACGTTTTCTCTAAAACCAATTGAATTTTAATTGATTTATCGAGTTTTGTGTAACACTTACAGCTTGACTAATTAAGGTAAAGTTATACAAACTTAGAAGAGACCATTGATTTACACAGAGAATTAAGACAGTAGTAATTAACAATAGCTGCCTAATTATTCCTGCTTAGCCTCCTAGTCACACAAAGCTGTTTATAGAAAGTAAGAGGCGGCCACATGCGCTATGAAATATGTATAATGAGTTTTATGTAGGAGGTGGTGCACATGGGAGAATGTGAGATCTTTGGAATCGCACACGATTTATACTTAAAGAGCCATTAAATGAGAGTAGAAAAAGAGACAAGATGGACAGAGACAATGATAAATAGAGCAGCCATTTTTAGTTTATTTATTTTATTTTTTTGCATATTGCAGAAGGAATGTTTCAACAGTGTTTACAATCAACATTTTAGTATACCAAAAATGCAGTTATTTAGTTAGCGATTAATATCCCACTACTATGCACATTTTCTGAATGCATGGACTACCCAGATTATGTACCTTGCAGACAGCTTGACATAATGTATCCCAAAATGCAATGCGCTTGAATGGAGCTTCCATATTCAGTGTGACGAATGAAGCAGAAGTAATTTAAACCATGTTTTTGACTCTTTGTGACTCAACATTAATTTGGGCTACCAGGCTCAGTTTTTGAAATTATTTTAATTTAATTTACTTAATATTTACTTAATATGTATATTTTTTTTCACTAGATGCTACATGAATTAAACACTCAATTTAATGGGTAATGTGATAAAGTGTGTATACTGCAGTGTACAGCATGCCAGAGTACATATTCTGACCTGTTGCCTATGGCAGTAACCATAGAAACAGTAAGTTGCTCAAACACCATCCATTACGACCAATATCCAATGGTACAGTGACAAAAGTATTGTTATTATCATGTTATTATCAGTGAATTACATGTACAAGTATTTCAATCGAAAAATGATAATAAAAAAACATAATATCAGTCATTAATTATTTGACCTGTCTAGAAAGTCTATAATTCCTACAGTACTTTCATTAATCAACAAGGTCTTTATTTCTAAGCATTTCTTTGATATAGGTTTAGCACAGTACTAAAATCAGCAGTCACTAAGTGCAACCGATCTATAAAAAGATGTTTTGCTTTTGTTCCATGCTTTATGGAAGCAGTGAAAAGACCATTATTCTTTTCCAAACATTAAAAGTTAATTTATTTTCATGCCAGTTCTAAAGCCAATTAAATCTGTATAGGCGATACTGGAAAGCTGCCCGGTTTGTACGAGCAACTGTATGGCAGTCCATGCAAGTGTTAAGTACAAAGTAAGATGGAACTAATTGGTTGGTCTGTCATGGTATATAAACATAGACTTAAAGGCCACTTCGTTTCCCAGGTGTCATGTGAAATAATTTGATGATGGGTGGTTCACACTTTACACTTTTACGGCAAACTGTACATATTTGTCTGCAAGTCTTTTAGATTCTAACGTGTACATGTTGGTGCTAATCAAACGTCAGGATACTTGGACTTTTAGAAGAAACCAAGTACAGCAGTTAGGTTGATTACGTTCATTGTGACCTTCTGTACCTTCTCCAGGACCACTCGCCTCAGCAGCCTGATATAATTGGAGCTTACCAGCCAGCCAATGTGCTCCTTAGAGTGTCACACCAATATGGAAAACAGTTATTATTCCTAATGGCTTTCTAGTTAGGGAAAGAGAGGGAATATGGGAACATAAACTCTGCTCCAAATTCAAATGAGCTGCCTTGTTGTGTGCAGATTAAATAGGGAGCTTTCTTAAGACATATACATGGGACTGCAAGTGACTGATTTGAAACGCTCTACAAGAGCATAAACTTTACATGATTGTATTCTCCAGTTGAACAACTGACTGACATTTTAGGTTAGCACCTCTAATGTACTTTCTATATGTGTCACTATTACTTTTGCTAATAATTAGGGTTATGAGTTTGTTCAAATGTCTAAGGTGAAGTATTAAAATTCACCATGTAACCTGTTCCATAATATATTGGTGCAACTGATATGAATACAACAAGATACATTCATTTTACAATCAGAACTCCTTAGCAACTGCATATAATTACCCTGGCAACCACCCACAAAACCCTTGTATTATGAGCAAATGCCATTCCAGACTCATAAAGCAATGTGTATATATTAAGAATGTTTATTCCAAAATTAGTACTTGATACAGAAATAATAATTTCATCATATGGATTTACTAGACAATCAAAAGTTCAATCATGCTTTCTTTGATTAATCACCGATTCCAAAAATTACAATATAATTTTTTTTTCATACATGAGTTGTGCAAAGAAAATACACACTAGAAAGCAATTATACACTTACACAAAATATATAACAATTCATATCTGAAGGCATCACACAATTCCAAGAATTCAGTGAGAGATTAAGGCCATTTGTACAGTTATTTTCCTGTTTGATTTTTTTTTTTTTACTCAAAACACTAACAATAACAAAAGAACTGATGAATCTCTTGTAAAACTGTACATGCAAACATAGTGCACGTAATATTTAGATATGAACAGCATACAATATAATATTTGGATATCCTCAGTAAACAAATTTCATGTGTCGAGTCACAAATTAAAAAAAAAAATCGATGATGCTTCAAGTGCTGCTTTTTCACACATGCATCATTCGTCAGCTATTACTCTGTGACTGAATTTGTGTTTATCATGATCTTAAAAACTTTTTTTTTATTTAAGTGGTATGCTTAAATGCTGGAAAGTAGTTTTGTAGACAAATATAAATTGTGCCTACTTAAGAATTCCATTTAAAATGAATGAGTTGAGTTGATAGTGAAACAAAAGCAGTCAACAAAACATTTTTAGTATAATATTATTATAATATTAAAATAATCTGGTTACAAGTTACTTTGCACCAGTAAACACTGGTGTACTGTAGTACATCACAAGTACATGTTCTATCAATAACTGATAACCAGAAACCATTTTTTTTTTAATTTGATGTCTTGTATTATATCACTTTAAATTTAAAATAATTATGTTTGTTAAATGCTTTTTCCTTCATTAAAATTATACGTCCTTAGATTTTTTTTTTATGACATTCATACATTGATTCAGTAGATTTGGCACACGCTTCTGAATGCTTTTTGGGTCTACTTTATGTGTTAACATCTCGTGAATATTGTATGTGTGACAAAGCAGCACAACTGAAATGACAATCCTGAATTCCAAAGGGGAAAGTTCCCTTTCAACCTGAGGCTGTTACCCAAAATAGTTCACTACACTAATGTGTGAAGAAAAAAAAAATGAGTTGCTACATACTGGAACATTCACATTTGCTATGTGTGAATGTTTTAGAACAAAAACATTCAGAGTATTTTGCAATGGAAAAATTTTGTATAAAATAACTCTGCTAAATGAAGTGAATCATAATAAACCAGAAGTCAATATGATTCACTTCATTTGCTAGAAACAAATGACGACAGTCATGTTTTGAACTAGTGTTCCAGTTTTTGTAACTATTTGATACTAACAGCACATTTCTAAAATAATGGGATCAAAAACACTTCTAGAAAAAATAACTTAAATTAGGTGTATAATTCTGCATCTTATCAGGTTTCAACACTTAAATATTAACAATGAAATCCAAGAAGAAGGATTTCGAAATAAGCTTTGTGTTTTTTGACACTATCTTTGGGCAACTCTACCAGGTAATGATCAAATATGATGGATGAATCTACATGTTATTGGAAAAAGATAATACAGCATCACCAAATCAAGAGAAAATGACAAAACATCCATACAATGTTTTAAAATAAGACATAAAATAATAACAATAAAAACAAGACATAAAACAATAATGGTATCTGTGTTTTTGACCACTGGGCTCTTATTTGAGAGCAGCTGCTCAGATCTAAATGTAATGAAGCACGCTGAGTCCTATGAGGTTCTTTATACATGATGAGGTGCCCATCTATCGTGCTTTTGCCAGGGCAAAAAAAAAAAAAAGAGAAAGAGAAAGTAAGTGAGAGAAAAGAGAGAACAAGAAAAGGCCAAATAACATGAACGCTGCACAACATGCATCACATGCCTGAGCACATCATTTCCATGCAAGAAATGTGGTTTTCCGCAACGACACCAGCCCCTGCCACCTGACGGACATGGCAAAGATCACACACTGCGAGGATTTGCACGGCAAAGTTCATGTTGAAGATATACGCTTATAAAAGTTAGATCCAACAGTAAGAAAATCATTAACATGTAAACATTGAGTGAGAGCTCAGAGAAGAAAGAGAGGAAGAGATAAGAAATGACGGAAGAAGAAGTTATTTACAACAGTCTATTTGCAACTGGTGATTTGTTAGCCTTTTCCTGGTCTGAGGAAGAGGAAGCTGCTCTGCTGTTCTGAGACAGGGTGCAACATCATCAGCTCATTTTTTAGTCTTTCCTTACCTGCATACAACTTCATCCTTCTTTTCACAGTTAGCCAGAAACACGTTCATTCTACAATGCGGCCCTCAGAAACAAGCTAGCCAGGCATTGAGAGACAGAGAGAGAAACTGAGAGACATCCTGACAGAGAATGCCTGTAATGGAAGTAAACCTGTTCTCAGAACCCTGTCTAACCATGTTGTCCATCTACAGCCCCCATAGTGCAAAGAGAAAGGGACAGAAAGAGCTGAGAGCTGAGGAAAACATCATCTCACTGAGTGATTGAGAAAGCGATACTGAGATACTGCAAGGCTCGCTCCAGGGCTCATTTTAGATCTGAGTTTGCAGTGGGTGTCCTGGGGGTGTATACGGAGGGGGAGCAGGAGACGGCTTGATTCCTCTGGTCCTCATATAGGATAGGAACTGGTCTGGGATCTCAGCAAGAACGTCTTTGGCCAGGCGGGCCATGCTGAGGATGTGATTCCCAGTGCGATCAATGTAGTCTCTGAATGGAACAAACTGCAAAAGAAAAAAAAGGTATATTTCATATTTATTAATTTTTTTTTTAATTTTGAAGAAATATGACTCTTAATCTTTAAGTTCTTTTGTTCAGGCTTGGAACAACATGAAGGTGAGTAAATTATGAAAATTTCAATTTTGGGGTGAACTAATCTTTTAAGAAAAAGACAAAAATAAATAGACAGCAACCTGCTATTAACTTGAATGACAATTATAAATAACAAACTAGAATTATTGGCCCAGTCTCACAACGTTACTACATTTTTTTGGAGTGATTGCTGTTAAGAATGTACAATTATAATGCATTTACATTCTTAATTCAACAATATAGTAGTGGGTAAGCTAAAAGTATTTATAATAACAAAATCAAATATTGTAACATTAACATAATTTAACACCCATGTCAAAAGTAAAATAATAATAATAATAATAATACTATATTACATACTATATATAATATATTACACATCAGCATGCTAACTTGTAATTACTTGTAAAGATAATTACAAGTAGATTCGTATTTTATGTAGATTTTATGGTAAACACACTCTTTATGTTGACTTTCATCAGGCTAAAATAATCTGAAGCAGGTCTCACATTCATCTGCATTTCTGTGCGAATTTGTAGAGCTGAAAAGAGCAATTAACCTAAAATGAGAGCAAAGCCATCAAATGCTCAGCATGCCAATCAACTCAAACGCGTCTGAGACTGAGAGCCAAATTATCGATACGGCTGCTTCTGAGAGCACTACACAGCCGTTTAGTTATGAAAAATTTGGCTTTTAAGTACATGTTGGCCGCTGAGTAGCCAGATCCACTGGAATCTGTGTGTATGTGAAGGCAAAACTAATTGGACAAGCCTCCCTAGCCACCTATGATAGCCGTTCATGCACACTGCCTGTTAACATGCTTCCTAACAAGCGTGGGGCGACCTACACATAATGATGACTTCCTCGCCAAGAACTATAAGCAGAGCGGAGCACAGAGGAGCACAGAAAACATTAAGAAATTACATTTTGAGAGAGACTGAGAGAGCTCTGTTCTTAGTTGCATAAAGCAAGCAGAGTTAGGTCAGAACTCAGAATGCTAATATATATGTGTGTTTCATGTATGATCGTAATGGGTGATAATGAAAATAATTTGTATGGAAATTCACCAACTTATATGCTGAATTATGGTGTATGTTTTTAGACCTGGATACGTTTTATATGGTTTATGTGTATGTGAATTAATATGGTGTATGTTTTTAGACCTGGATAAGTTTCACAGCAAAATTTTAGCATCAGCATTTTAGCATATCTTGAGGCTCGTTCACACCAACACATTAGCATCCACACCAACACACAATAAGGTTCTGTGTTTATTATAATAACCTACATACACTTTTCTGCATTGTCTCAATTCATTTCAGTAATATACACTACCATTTAAAAGTCTGGGATTAGTATGGTTACTTTTAAAACAAATTAATATTTTTATTCAGCAAGTATGCTTGGTATGCATTACATTTATAAAAAAAAATTGTCAGTAAAGACTTTTATCATGTTACAAAATATTTCTATTTCCAATAAATGTTCTTTTGCTGTACTGCAGTACTTTCAATCTTACAGACTCTAATGTAATTCATAAACAGAACAAAATTGTAGGCTGGTTAATTTCATCACTTTTTATGTTTATCATGTGTATTAATGCACTAGACTGCTGTAATTCTATTGTACAAGTGTTTACGAGATCATACAAACTGATTATAAGTTATATTATAAAGCATTTCGAACACATTATAATGCGTTAAGGATACCATTGTATATATAACACATTACAATGCATTACATATACAGACAGCACAAAAAGTGTAAACGAGAAGAGTAATGCTTGTTAAATTAAATGAATACTGTCACACATTTTTGTAGCTTGATTCAAAAAGTACATTTATGAAACTTTCTGGTAATTAGTGTGTCATTAAAACAAGTGGTAAGAAAACAAATTACTGTACATTTACTTACAAACACATGTAACTTGCGAGATATCCATAACCTCTATAGTTGTCCTTTTTGAGACGTCTCTGTATTAGTGATGAAGGAGAAATACTTTAGCTGTGTTATTATACCTGTACGATGTCTCTCTCAGCATATCTGCCTCTGGATGAGATTCTGACTTCATCACCATCCAACTCGATCATGGCTGAGGACACACACAACAGATAAGAAACACGCATGACCGGAGATATGAAAACATGAGTAAGTTGTGCATTTGAGTGCCTGCAATTGTGTGTGTTTTGAGTATTTTAGTCTCGTTTGATTATTCCTAAACCCATCGGCATTACTGTCAGTGCAACGAGGAAATGGCTGTCACATTACATGCTCATTTACTCTGCATTAGTACACAATCCTTTTATCCGCTCAACTTAAAGGCCTGAGCATCACTATAAAGCACACATCACATGTAGGGTATAAAGGGGATGTGTTGTGTAAATAAAATGACAAATGTAAAATGGGTTTATTACAAAAATGAGGATAAAAAGAAAATATAAGCAATATGAAATCTATAAGAGCAAAATAAATAAATAAATAACTCTTCTTACCATCGAACTCGGCTGGTCCAACTCCAACAATAATAATTGACATGGGAAGACATGCAGCCTGGAATGAGGAAAAAAGAAAAAGAAAGAAAGAAAGAAAGAAAGAAAGAAAGAAATAAAGAAAGAAAACAGATACAATTCATTATATTTAAACTAACATGCCTGTTTTTATTCCCCCAAAGTCTCAGTGTATTAAAATGAAAAGCTTAATTACTTATTAACTATGTCATATTGATGACCATGTCATTTATTAATTTTTTTTTGTCTAATCGAAACAACAACAACAACATGATTTTCAGTTTAAACCTGTTTTGTCTAAAAGCAAATAACACTCAATGGAATGGAATAGAATAGAATAAATCTTGGTAACACTTTATTTTAAGGTGTCCTTGTTACACATGTTACATGTACTTACTATATGGTTAGGGTTAGGATTTGGGTTTGGCTTAGGGTTACTTGCATGTAATTATGCATAATTACATGCAAGTAACCCTAAGCCAAACCCAAATCCTAACCCTAACCATATAGTAAGTACATGTAGTTAATTAATATTGCTTAGTACTTATATGTATAATTACACTGAAACAAGGACACCTTAAAATAAAGTGTAACCTAAATCTTCTCATGTTATAGCTAATTTAGCTTTTGTTAATGGTGAAATAGCATGCATGTTACATTAGTAACACTAGACATATATTTACATATAAAATATATTTGTTTATATATTTTCACATTTTAATTAGTTATGTCAATAATAATATATTAAATAGTAGTATGTTTATATATTTATTTATAATATAATATATTTAAAACCACACACATAAGTGCATTTGTTCTTCATTTTTAACTTCAAAATATATATTTATGGTCCACACAGTTCACAAAAATAAATGCCTTAAAGTCCTATGATTTCCAAGATCCATTTTTGTTCCTATGATGTCATAGATAAGCATTTTAAATGTAATTAGGGGATGATTCCTTTAGGTTATTATAATCATAGTCATAGGATAAACATTTTATGATCTCATAGGAAACCTATTAAAGTTCAGTCTATATTGTGAAAATGCAAAGACCCCACAAAGTTGATTAAAGTTGATTATTGACTGTTGAGTTAATCTATTTTACACATGGTTATAGTGCTAAAATCTAAATGAACATTCAATGTAGTTTAGTAGACAGGACACCTACATTAACAATGGACTCCTTTGTCTGGGCCATATCTGATATCACTCCATCTGTGATGATGAGGAGGATGAAGTACTGTGAGCCATCCTTTATTGAGGCAGCATATCTGCATGAGAGAGTACATTGTTACATTCATTAAACATCTCATTACTGGAGGATATACAGTCAGAGCCTCTGGATTGTGATATAATTTCACTGTATTACTACATTGCCTGGATTCCTAATTATTTTCATCAGCTTATGAGGCAAATAAAATACTTGGAGGCATTAATAACTTTAGAGACACAAGCAAATATATTCTGCACAGTTCATTCATCTGTGGTTGTTACAAACCATTCCTACAATACAAATAAAGCCAATTAAAAGTGTAATTATTAAATGCACAATAATCTAAACATGCACAATATGTGGGTGTACACATTTTCACATGATCTCTCATTGTATACTGTGCAGTTCTGGTCAACTTTAGAAATTACAATTTCTCTAATGAATGGTCGGAACTGGAATTTATTTTTTTTTGGAATGAAACAAAGATAATTGGAGCAATTATAGAAGAAATATACTAGCAATTACTGAGTGAAAATTCAGTGTAAATCTTACACAACATTTTTTTTTTAGTGTGGCAATTCATAACTATTTTGTTTTTTAGCGATTTGATGGTGAATTGATTTAACCCTTTACTATCCAAACTTAAATTGTTGTTATTTACTAACACTTTGGAATTTGTTCAAAAAATGTAAGTATCAAAAAGTTATAGAAGTTTAAATGTACTGTAAATTAAATGCACTATATTCATTTAATTCTATTTTATTTATTATAAATATTTTACATAACAGGCTTTACTCTAAAATTGGTATAAAATTAAAGCCTTATGTCTAAATAAGTTATGTTCCAAATTTGAAGCTGATATGAAAAAAATTGAGGTTTCTGTAAGATTTTATTTAGGTCGTCATACCACAAACAGCCACTGGGTGCCATCCAAACTCCCAAGTGGGGGGGGGGGGGGGACAACAAACAAAAAAAGAGTGCCAAGCGTCCCACAGGGGTTAATGATTGCTTTAAATTATGATTTAATTCTTGTTTTTTTTTGTACAATCTGCTTAAGAGTTTTTTTTATTTTTTATTATTATTATTATTTTACCTAAAAGCTATGTTTTTGTATGAATTAAATCATACAGATTCATATTTCTTCACCATCAGTTCACCAAAAAGTAAAATACTTATGTTTTCTCATGAAAGAGTTATCATTGTAAATCTGTATATAAATGAAATCCAGATGGTCTCTACATACAGAAAGTTATTAATGAGATGACAGATTGTTTTGGTTTTTGAGGGTTTTAGATGTAAAAGAAAATATATTTTTGGTATCATTTACTGATGCTCTTATTTCAGTCTTTATAAATCACAAAGATCAGAAACTGAACAAAATGAGTCATAAATAAATAAATACTAATTTTCTTTTTTAATGAATTATATAAATCATAACTTTGGCAGTCATACACATACCTTTACGCATTTAATAAAAATAAAGAGGTGGTTCCTTTTAGACTTATTTTTAGATCTGGATGCATCATGGATACATCAGTCTCTCTTTCTCCCACACACTGTACCGAAGGGTGTAGTTGTTCAGAGCACTGATACTTGACACCCTTTACTAGCCTCCTTCAACTCACTGTGATTTGTGCTTCAAGCTGATCTGTGGTGAAATATCCACTACAGACCTCTGTGTAAGGAGAAAGGATGAAATGGTCTCGGCATATGTTTAACAGCCTCTGCTTTTTCAGATTGGCTTCGGTGGATTAAAGCTTTGAAAACTTAATATTCCATTGAGGATTTCGAAGATGCTGTACACAGTAATGCTCAAAACATTTCTTCACTTGTCACTGAAAATGTGCAAATTTAAAAATCCACTTGCGGACACACTGGCATTTCGTGAATTGGGGCAACTATGGCTCATTAAAAACACACACAACAGGAAACTACCGAGTTAAATTACTTCAAACTGAATATATGTCATAAACCTCAATACAAGCTGTTCATTATCATTAAAGCTCCAGAAGTAGAAAACATCAAAAACAAAATATTGCTGTTATGGTGTAACATTAATATGTCATTAACAATTAATATATTTCCCTCATTCGCTTATGCTGTCACAAAGGTTTAGACTATTTCGACGAGTCTTTAGAAATCATGTAGAACAGAACAAAACAATTATAATGTAAATTAGATAAATGCATTAAATGTGTTAATTAAAAGAAATCCTTTTAAACACATTCATTTAATAAAAAAAGTAACCATACAATAATATTAAGCAAAACATTACTGAATGAATTAATACATTACGATTATACTTTAACTTACGGTGTCCTTGTTACAGTGTAATTATCCATTTAAAGGGGTCATATGATGCGATTTCAATTTTTCCTTTCTCTTTGGAGTGTTACAAGCTCTTGGTGCATAAAGAAGATCTGTAAAGTTGCAAAGACTAAAGTCTCAAATCCAAAGAGATATTCTTTATAAAAGTTAAGACTTGTCAACGCCCTCCTAAAACACCTCGTTTAAACACGCCCCCACATGTCTACGTCACTGTGTGGGAAGATTTGCATAACACCGCCCAAATGTTCACGCAAAGAAAAAAGGCGTAACTTTTATTCTCGCTGTAGTATTTTTGTTGCCGCCACTGCCATGTTGTGGAGATGCTGTGTGTTTCATTGTGAAAGCGAAACTACTTTGTTTGGCCTTCCAAAAGAGGACGAGATCCGCTTCGTCATGCCTGGAGCTGATCCGTGCTGGTCGCTGAAGAAATACATAAACTTCGCGCTGTGGATCGCCGGATCGGCTTTCACCATGGATGAAGCGGAGTCCAGCCCGGGGTCGTCACATGTGGTTGCTGCAAGCCTCCTTCGTTGAATCCGCCAGCCTCCGCTCACTCAAGCCCGCTGGGCACCGCTCACTCAAGCCGCTGTGTGTTTCGTTGTGAAAGCGAAACTACTTTGTTTGGCTTTCCAAAAGAGGACATAATGTTTCTATAAAGTGGGGCAGTTCCAACTTTGCAAGGACAGTCTGGTGCTTCTGACTCACAGCCTGTAAGTACGTTTTTTATATTTAAAGAATTTGCCACTGATGATTCAAACGCGAGTTTGAGCAGTGTAGAGTAGCGCTTGTTGTTTGTCATTTCTCCGATCACAAATGCAGACATGGTTTTATGTTTACGCGGTGCAATACGCAACGCAACGTGTAAAAACACAGTATAAGTCATTATAATCAGTAATTATGTCCCCACTGGATGCAACAAATGCCTCGTTTGTAATGGGTTTTATTGGTTTTGTCTTGTCGCGCCGGGACACACGGAAACACAGTATGGTAAGGGGCGTAACATTTCCGTCACACGCTAGCGGTATTCAGCCAATCACAACACACTGTATGGCTGGCCAATCAGAGCACACCTCGCTTTTCAGATGAGCTTTGTTAGAATTGACATGTTTCAGAAAGAAGAGCAACAATAATGTACTGTATATGGAAAATAACATATTTTCTTAACCTTAAACCGCATAAACACATTGCATTACACCAAATACACAAAATAATGTTCTTTTTAGCAACATCATATGACCCCTTTAAGTACTGAGTAATAATCGTTAACTACATGTATTTACTATATGGTTAGGGTTAGGATGAGGGTTTAGTATAGGGTTAGTTGCATGTAATTGAGCATAATTTATTGTTATTAAGATGGAAAGTAAATGTAACATGTAACAAGGACACTGTAAAATAAAGTGTTATCTAAATTAATAATGAATTTGATATTCTGCAATTTAAATCTCAAATGAATATTTGTATATTTGAATATTTATACAAGCCTATGAATACAAAAGGCTTGATCACACTGCCTCAATAAACAGCAACAACCAACAGCTGTAATGTGGTGGAAAGGAAACACTGACATAATCTGATTTTATCGCGAACTGTTGCCATTGCTTATAGAATGTGCGAGGCCTCAACTACTTTGGTGGAGTTGAAGAAACAATCAATCACAAATAATCACACTGTTACCCTTCAGGAACTGGAGCTGCGTCGAAATTTGCTTTGGGAACGCCCCTGCGTGACCGTGTTCTGAAGCACGTGTAAAATCAGTCCAATGGAGCAGCGAGACGTCACGAGCGGGGTCAAGTGAGCGCCAGGAAGTATAAAAGCGCATCCGGCAGAGTGCAAGTTAGCTTCTGCTCTTCAGTAGCGCTCTGTGTATGTGTCAGTCTATTTACTGTTGTCTGTCAGTCCACAAGCATTCAAAAGTATATGTCAAAGTCTAAACTAATATCTATGGCGAGCAAACGGCATTACAGACGTTGTGTGCCTCCCTGCCCACACTATCTGGCAGCGGGGGATACACATGATCTGTGTGTTGTTTGTTTAGGAGCGGAGCATGCACGGTCAGCTTTCGAGGAGCTGATTGTCATCACTGCGAGTTACTCTCGCTGCGTATGCTCCGCTCTCGCCTGGCTGTGTTTGATGAGAGCAGCCAGGCTCGCAATCCCGCTGGAAGCGGTCCCGCTGTTGCCGAGGCACGGCATAGACTGTTGTCATGGGGATCGCAGGTGGATTTAGCGGAGGGATCCGAGACGGGCTCGTCCTTTTCTCGGTCCTCACCCGCTAGATCCGCGGCTCTCTCTCTCAGTGTTAGGAAGCCCGCGCTGCGGTTTCTTCCCACCCCCCCAGAGAGAGCAAGCCAGACGCTTCATCTATCTTC